TACATGTTGCTCGCCCGGAACCTGAAGGTGGTTGCACGCCCCATTACATGAATGTACAGGGCTTAATAAAGTGCATGCATTAACAATATGCTTTGAGCATATAGATCAAAAGTGAAGATGAGCAATAAGGGAAATACTTCCAGTGTAAACTTGTGTGGGACATTTTTGCATGCTCAACATCGATTTGAGACCCCTGTTGTTTGTAGATCTTTCAGAAAGCGTTACAACAAGCCACCAACACCTCTTGAGCATCTTGGGCTTCATACAGCGTATGTCCCCCGATTTGTTGATATCCTCCCTTATTGTCTTTCATCTGTCCCTCGTGTTTTTCTATATCGTAGGCTTATTTGTGTACTAGGCACGCAGGTAGGCACAGCCAGCGACAAACGGGCAGAGCGGTGCTAAAATACTGACTACATATAAGCGTTTAGTATTGCAAGAGGGAGAAATAAAGCAACAAATGCAACTTTTTGTGAGAAGGGGAACCGGCATCCGGATCACGTCAAGAATGGCAGGCGACGCGTGGGGTGCCAAAGTGAAATTTCAGTTTTGCACAGTATAAGAAAATATGTTGCACGCGGCCCCGCTATATTGTTTTCTCCGTATATTTCATAGCCTCTGACGTGCTCCAAATAATTATCTGAAGACAGTTAATAAGTGGAACACGTCAGGGGCTATGAAACATACGGAGAAAACAATATAGCTATTCAAATGAACAGTTCAAATAATTATCTGAAGACAGTTAATAAGTGAACTGTTCATCTGAACCACGAGCAAACAGTTCGCCTGACTAGAGGAGAGCTATGTTTCGGAATATAGTTAGCGTTCACAGCAGAACAGAAGGCTGACATAAGCACTGCGAGTTGATAAAAAACACCAAGACCACCGTATGAGGTGGAGTAAACGCAGGGTGTAAAATCTAGAGGCCGACGTCCCCCCATATCTTTGCTGCGTTTTGCCTCTATGCTGCTTCGGGTCTGTTGTCTGAAACAGCAGTTGAAGTTCGGCTGTTCATGCAGCAAGGGGAGCTTCACAGACAGAGGCCAATAAAGGCGGGCTTAGTTTGCAAAGT